TGGGTCCAGACTGGATGTCCACAGCCTCACCTCCCTCAGGGCTTTGCTTGCCTACATAGAAGAGGGCTACTGCCTGGGTCTCTGCTCTGCAGGGTTGCTATGATAGGGCAGACTGCCCGGTATGGTGGGTAGGGGAGAGGCCCTTCATCACTGGGGTGCACAGCAGGACTGGGTACAACCTCCAATCAGAGACTGGGGGCTCCCTTCTAGAAGGTAGATACCACCACCCCCCCTTTGATTCTCACGTTCCTCCTTCATATCCCACATGGCTGGTTCTGAGAGATCCAGAAGAGCCTGTTGTGTCCTGGCCAGGGCCCAGCCTGGCCCTCCAGTGCCCTCCTCAGACACGTGTCTATGTCCATCCTACAGCCCGCTTTTCCCAGCCCCCCAGCTAGAGGCTCTGCAGACCTCTGCGTGCCTCCTGATACGGAAAAGCCTGACCCCTTCCTCTCAGAGCCTCAGTCTTTCCAATCTATAAATTGTCTCTGTTCCAAAATGAGGGACTGGTCAGCCGCTGCCCTATGCCTCCGTTTCCCCTGGGACACACTTTAATATCTTTCCTCACAGATGGATCAGCCGGCTCTGAGGGTTGGGAGAACTTGCCCAAGGGTAGGACCACCTGTCACAGGCTAACAGAAGATCGGAGGTCAGTCCACAAAGGAGACCTCCAGGGGTGATGTGTCCTCCAAAGGCGGGGGTCGGTTTAGGGAGGAGCGAAATCCGACTCCTCTGATTCTCACCAGATCTAAGGCTTTGGGACACCCGGCACACAGAGGGGAAACTGAGGCCCACAGAGCCACCGGCTAGCCAGAGTTACACCCAAAGTCAGACCTCTGAGGATTGGAGCTTGGTCCACCTCGGGACCGGACCGGTCTCCAGGGCCAGATCCCCGCGGGTCCAGCCCCTCCCGAACCACCTCCCCCACCTAGGCCACCACGCCGGGAGAGTTTAGAACAAAAGGCGGTGGGAGGCGGGACCGGGGCGGGCCGGGGGCGGGGCGGAGGCTATAAGGGGCCTCAGCCTGGCGCGGCCCAGCAGGCCCAACAGCCCCGGGGGCGGATGGCTCGGGCGGCCGGGCTCCG